GTGTGGGTTTACTGTAACTCTGGGAAGCCAACAAAGTGCTGAATTTCCAGTGTAATGTCAAAAATTATTCTTTCACTTTTTACAGTCTAAAAGCAGCTTTTATTTAGTTTATTTAGATCTTTTCACACAAAGATTAGGAAGCCTAATTTGAGCCTGTTAATCTTTTTCTTGGTAATCCATAGAAAAGCACAGCTGCACTACTAAAAACATTCTGTTTATCCGTGATCACTGAGGCTGGGCAGCCTGCAGCGTTCCAAAGATCAAAGTTTAAAACAGACACACCAGTCCTTCCTAATTCCTTGCATTTAAGGACACGATACCACCAAATCTAGACTTGCTGCTGCTAAAAACTCGAGCTGAGCTTCAGCCTGTACTCATGTGAGAAAGGTACGTCCTGGCAACTTGATAACCATGAAGTGAAGTAGGACAGAGTCTAATAGTTGTAATGAAACAGTTCTCTGGTTACTTATTCATTCCTTTTAAATTAAAGTAAATAGTGTTAAGGATTTTCTATTTTTTTTTTTTAAAGAAATATTTTTGCAACTGAGTTTTACCCCTCCTTTTTTTTTTTTTTTTTCATTGCCTATGTGGGAAAACTAACACATTTGTATAAGGATAAACTGGGAAGTCTGTGGTTTCCAGCACGCACATTTTGAATAATATTTATACAGACTATTATTTAATGGACCATATAAATATTTATCATATGCTGTAGCCTTTTGATCATAAATGCTTGTTTGAAAAGCCATTCTGTCCCTGCTGTGATTTGCAGAGAAAGAGGCCATTGCTGGTTTAGTGCTTGGAGGGAATTTTGGCTTCTTGTCCTGCCTTAGCAGTTACAGTCATGGATTAACACAGCCAAGCTGAACATGGCTTTTAATTTTACTTTTTTTCCTCTATCCCTCACCTTCTGTTTGCAAATTCAATTAATAAATTGTAAATATGAGGCCCTAATTCTGCAGTGGACAGACAAGGCTGTGTTAAAGTGCTGGAGGCCTTTTTTCTTGGCTGCAAGGAGCCAGGCTTTCCGAGTTAGATACTGCAAGGGGATAGAAGGTTCTGTCTCTACTGCTTTCCTCCTCTTGGAAGTACATAAACATGCATGATCCCTGCATCAAATATTCTGGTGTCATGTTGGGAATATTACACATGAAGAATGGACCTGTCTAGTCTTTTAGGACGTTTTATTTCAGTCGTTTTTCTGGGTTGCTGTTTTCCTCATGGTTGCATTGCCTGCAGAAGCTATATGTTCAGAATCCAATAGATACAAAACCCAAACCAAACTTTTCTTTGCACAACAAAGTTTTCTTTGCATGTGGCAATGATTGTTGGTGTCTGTATTCCAAATCAAGAAATTTGTGCTGGGACCTTCTGCTACCTCTGAACTGCATTAAAGCAATTCTTAATTTCTGATTTGGAGTTTCCTTATGTACCAAAGGAATCTTCTGGAAGCAAAACAGAATGGCAACATTCCTCTTTAAAATTCTTCCTAAAGTACTTTGGCTAAATATTTTCCACCAACCTGACTGCTGAGCTCTTTGGTTCTCAAGAAATACCTTTGGGCAGAGTCCATAATTGGTGACATTTATGACCTGGAGATGACAGTGCTTTCCGTAGATGTGCTTGATAAGTAGGTGGCATACCAAGCAATTGGTATTCCAGAAAAACCCTTGGCATCAAATTATGTTTTTGCAAGCAGATCGGATCCTATTGCAGATCCTATTTACTTCCAACAGCCTCAGTAAATCAGTACTTGAAAAAAAGATTAATATTTACTTTTACCTTTTTTTTTTTTTTTCCATAAGACATTGAGTATTGCTTTGTGAATCTAGGGGAGCTTTACTCAGAGAAAGACCAGTGAAAATAGGTTTGTGGTTCTTGGTTTGGGACTCTGTCACTTAACTGGTTCCTGTGTGCACTGATTTACAGCAATAAACTCCTGGATGTGCACAGGCTGATAGGGACTGCTGGAGCACATAAACAAACTCTGCTTCCTGCCCAGTCACTCGCACATGCACATCCTGGCTGCTTAGTAAGGAAAAAAAAGGAAAGTAAACATTACATGGGCAGATTGGGTTCCAGGTTTCAAATGTTTGTGGGAAGAATCCAATGCAAAGCCATAATTTTAAGTGCTGAGTAGGAGGTACTGTGAGCTTAATTCTCTAACATCTGTTAAGCTTGTTCTCTAAGTAGCAAAAACACGTTAATGAGCTAAAATCAAGGCTGCCTTACAAGGGAGAGAAATTTAGAGTAGTATTGTGTGTGTGTGAGCAGGAGACAGGATGTAAAATACTCCTTTTGCTATTTGTATTTTGTGAAAAGCAAGGAAGAAAGATTTGCCCGTGTTTAAAAAAAAATAATAATCTGGTTTGCAGCTTGTGGTTTATTCTCAATTTTTTCTGAGTCAGCAGCTAAAGGCAGTGCCGAAATAGGGGAAAACCAGGGAAATTCGTGAGATACTATCAGGAACAGTCTTGTGCAATGCCTTTGTAGTAAAACTTCTCCCAAGTAACTAGCAGCACCTGCAGTCAGCCTTTGGAGCTCTGAGGAGATGGAGTGCAAAACTAAAAAGTGAACAAACATCACCTATTGAAAAGAACGTCTTAAAACTGCTTTTCCAGCTGAGGGGGAGAGGCCGAGCGCGTGTCCCCCCAGGTGGCAGATGCAGTGTTAGTCACCCACATCCCCTCTGTGACACAGGCATCAGCTTTGGTTAGTCTGACCAGGTCACAGAGCCAGGGCCAAGAAAATAAAGGAGCTTTCTTGCCAGTATTCCTTAGTGTTAACTCATGGCACACCATTTTTAGCTGCTTGCTCATCACTGGAACACATGACCTCGCTTAAGGAGATTAGTGTGTGGCACCTCAGCTGCTGGGCAGAGCCAGTGCTCCCAGAGAGGAGCCACAATATGCTCTGTAGCTTTGAGTTTTTCCTGCTTTCTGACAGTATTAGAAGCTGATGATCTGTAGAGCTTCCCCTGGTGCCCCTGCTGGGTGTGTGCAGAAAGCAGCTCAGAACTGCTTTGGTCTGTGCCAGGCTGCTCAGGAGTTTTAGTGATGGACAGAACTCCCTTGTGCTGTCAAAGCAGAGAACAAAAAACGGTCCTTGGATGCAGCAGTGGGGTCTAAGCATGAAGTGTCAGCTTGAAGCAGGACAAAATGATTGTGTGATAACAGATTTCCACAGACTGACCACATTCCCATGAGCTGTTTAAAGGCTGGGATGAGGGGAAGCCTCAGTAGGTTTCTTTTGCCAAGGTGTTGTCCTTTTTCAGGGCAAATGAAACTTTGCCAAGCTGCTACACTGCTTAATTATTACCCAGAATCATGTTTGGAATTTTCTGAGATAAAGGGCTCCTTTATTTTTTCCTTTTTTATTTTAGCTGCTGCCTCTTACCCTAAATGATCATAAATTTGTGATATCCATGAGCAGTAGTGGTTACAAGCCAGCCATGGTTGTGAACAGCCACCTGTACTGGGCCAGTGCTATGTTCAGACTGACAACTAAGTGTAGATCCTGACCTGTACTCAAAATTATGATTAAAAAAGAGAAAAAAGAATTAATTTGAAATGTGAATAATCATATTCTACTAAGCATTTCTTTCCAATCTTTCCCTCTTTGCCTATGCCTCTCCGTCTAACCACCCCTTACTCCACATCCAGAAGTAATCCAGGTCACTTGTTTGGGAGAGGTGGGCTGTTTTTAACTAGAGCCATTTTGATGCTCTGTAAATACCATGTGCTCATCAAGTGGTAATTGATCCATTCATTTTCTGGCAATCAGAAGCTGTGTGTCAGCTGAGTTTCACGTGGTTCAGAGACGTCACAGATTCACACAGGCACTAAACTTGGTACTTGTCTGATGTTTCAAATACTTGTACCAGCTCTTCCTCAGCATTCTCCCAGCTTGGCTAAAATGTAAATGTTAACTATTAATTAAGAACAAACAGTGAGAAATTTAGAACAGTGAATTTGTCACTGTATTAAATGTCAAACAGTTAAACTTAATATAGTGAAATATGCAACTCATTATGAATAATTAAAGCAATTAACGTAACCTCACTTTGTTCTTGTAGGTTGTCAGAGAGTAGGCAGAGATTTCCTTGGATGCTCTCATAACTCAACACTTTTCCAGCAAATTATTTTCTGAGGCTTTAAAGTTGGGTGGATTGATGGTGGAAAGCTCTTGGAAAATAACTTTTTGTTTTCTTCTTTTTCCTTGGTAACATGTGCCAGATTGTCACGTGGTTACTTTAATTATCAGCATCACACTAGGGTTTTTTTTGGAAGAGGAAACTGTTTCCAGAATCTGCAGAGCTCCATCCTGACTCAGTGTCCCGTTCAGCAGTGACATGTCACTCAGGAGCTGGTTGGTGTGATGGGAGGCAGCAGCTCTTGGCTCCTCATTCCTCTCCAGGACAGGGCTCAGTGGAGCCTGGCCTGGCCCCCCTTTCACTGCTTCAGGAGTGGAAGTGGCTTGCTTTGAGATAGTGAATGACCTGTGGTGGTTTTTGCCATCTTATCCAGAGGAGAATTTAGCTTTCCAGGCATCACCAGCATCCCCATCTACCAGGAAAACCCAGGAGCCTCTGGGTTGAAATTTCCCTTGTGTGTAAAACGCCAGCACAACCTTTGCTTCCCTCCCTCTCTCTTTCCCTCTTTCTCCCCTTATGTGGATGTGATATTGTGTGACCACACTGCATTTTGATTGTACGAGCGCAGGAATTTTATCACTGCTTGCATATTTTACGTGCACATTTACACTCTGCTTTTCAGGAGCTTCTGTGCCACGCAGCTAATGTGCAAACATTTGAAGGAAAGTGGTACAACTAGTGCAAGACTTGAAACCTTTAAGTAATTAAAAATTGTCAAGTGAAGACTTGCTGCAAAAACGAGTTACCCTATGAAGTGCCTGTACAGCCTCTCTCCTGCCCTGCTCAGCACAGTTTTCCATCATCAGTCGTTTTATCGGCTTTTAACCTTTTTTTTTTCCTTCCACAGGCTTTACTAAGAATGCACAGTAAAAAGACTGCAGTCAGATACTATGTTGGGATTGATGTTGGCTCAGGCAGCGTTCGAGCAGCGTTGGTCGATGGCTGTGGGACAGTGGTGGCACATGCGGAGCAGCCCATCCAAATTTGGGAGCCCCAACCAGACCACTACGAGCAGTCCTCTGCAGACATCTGGGCTGCCTGCTGCTCAGTCACAAAGGTGGGCAAAGACAGAGAAAATGAAGGATTTGTGTTGCAGGTGGTTGTTGAGGTTTTGAATGTTTGAGGTCTGCAGTCCCCATGTGTCACTTCCCTTCAGGTCTGTTCGTGCTGTGTAACTTGTAACCGTCCTTGTACATTAAAGGCACCGTGAGGCTGAGGGAGCCTCACAGTGTCTGTTTTATTGGTGAGGAGCTGAAGGCCAGAGTGAAAAAAACTTCTGCTACAATTGCAAATAGAATGAAAGGCCCTTCTTTGTGCTATTATGGCAGGGGGAGGACTTACCCACTGCCTTCAGGTCTCACATCTGTGGGGTTTGTTTTGCTGGTGTTTGTTCTACCCACAAGACAGTTCTTTGAGGAGTCAAGGTTGCTCAGAGCCTGGCTGTGCATATATTTAAAGATGTGCTCGTACTGCACTGGAGTCACAAAGGAGCATTTAGTGCATAGAAATTGTTGCCTGGTTTGTGGATGGTCCCCAACATAACACCTGTGGACCTCATTATAAGAGGATCCAGTGTTGTAAGACCAAAATAAATGATGAATGTTTGTGGATAACATCAAGCATAAACCCGGATGGAAATAACCCTTTCTGTAGGGGGGAAGATTTGTACCCACTGATTCAGGGCTCTGCCTGTACCTGCTGGCAGTGCAGATAAATCTGTGACCTTGTTTGGCAGTGCACACAGAGGCCATTTCATCTTCCTTAGTAAAGCCCAGGCCTGCTCCATGTTCTAAGGTTGGCTTTTTAAATATTCATGACATGCTTGGTAATTTGCAGATGGACAGTTCACCCATTGTCTTGTTATTGATCAGCCTTTTCAAACATTAATGAGCTTGGCTCTGTAGAAATGCCCTGAGATGGAGAGGAGGAGGTGAGGGGGAGGGAAGGGAAAGAAGGGAGTGACAGGAGTGACAGGGAAGAACATCTTGTTGTTAAAGAAGAGCAAGTCTTACTCTTTATTTGATATTTTTCTGTGTGAGTTGCTTTGTTCTGCTCTGGACCCCTTTAAATGCAATCTCTGATGTGTGAGCAATAAAATAGTCTCTGAAAGTATGGCTTTTCAGAGCCAGTAAGAGACTGGCACTGTAGCAAGTCTAGTGAAAGTCCTTCCTTATAGTACTAATTAAAATAATGATATTTTTATTGTTGCTGAGAAGTGGCAATTTATTACTCTGTTACATTTTAGGTGTCTTGCAGCCTCATTTGGCACTTAATCCGTGTGAGTGTTGTGTTTTTTTTTCCAGTGCTGCTGGAAACCATGAAGTTCAGGCATTTTGGGGCAGTCGTTTTTGCCTTTTTTTTTTTTTATTTCTTTTTTCTTGTTTGGAAGATCTTCCAAAAAAGTATAATGTCCAATCTCTTGGTAAGAGAGAAAAGTGTGCATTGCAGAGGTGTTATCGCTGCTACAGGTGTTGACCAGTTTTATTTTTGGGACCCTTCAGTATTGCAAGGCAAAAAAGCTGTGGCTCAATATTACCAAAGCAATTCTAGAATATTTATTGCTTCCACAGGTGGGAACTGAGTGAAGTAACTGATGGAAACACCTGGCCCTAATCCTGTGTCCATGTTTCACATGCAGCTCAACTCTAAGCTTTAGAAAATAGAAAATAAGTGTTGCTGGTTTTCTGCTACCTTTATTTTCTGATATTTTGTGCTTCCTGCTTTATCCAGGACTGTGGCTAGTAAGATTAAAAAACTATTTAGGAGCTCTGAATTCAGTTTTGATAACCAAAGAATATTTGGTAATTTGATGTATTTTTGGTTAGCAGTGTTAAAGAATACTGAATATAAAGAATTTCCGAGTTTGAGCGTGCATTTTTGACTTGTAACTCATTTTCTGTGCTCATTGGTACCTGCATATGAACTGATACATTTATGTGTGTTTTGTGTATTTTCAGAAGGTTGTCTGTGGAGTGGATGCTGCCCAGATTCGAGGGATTGGTTTTGATGCTACATGTTCTCTTGTTGTTCTGGATAAACAGTTCCAACCTTTGGCAGTCAACTGTGAAGGTAGGACTGCACACAAAAAATGATGTTACTGTGTGTGTGTCACCACTGCTGTCAGTGAACTTTCCATTTCAGCCAAATACCAAGTGCTGGGCCTGGCTCTGGGAGATGGAGATGACACAAAACCTTTTTTACCAGAGGATGTTTTTTCTGGTTTTACTGTTTTAATTCTACTGAAAAATTAATTTTGGGATGTGAATTACCGTTTGGCTAAATATTTGGCATCCCAAGATCAAAGTAATTCATCTTGGCTCAAAGAAATTGCTTCCTAGGGAAATCTAGGCTCATTTTTCTTTTCTGCATGTTTTCTCCTCCTTCAGACTTTGCTGATCATGGCTTTCATAGTGTGTATAAATGCCCATCCACACTGGCTAAAGGAATGCTAAAACTGTTGGTGTTAGTGTAGTCCAACTGCTTGCTCTGTCATGGAGCTGCAGGCAAGAGGTTCAGCTGTCTGTTTTATTATACTGGTGCTCTGTCTTTGTCTAGGACAGTGCTAAACTTCAGAAACTGACTGTGACCTTCTTCTAAAAATCTGGTGGTTTTTATTAGAGTTGATGATTCAGAAGACTCAAAGTCTTTGATGCACTTTATTTTTCAATGAATCCCATTTAAGATGAGGTGTGTGCGAAATCAGTAGTTACAGAGACCTGCTCACAATTCTGTGTATGTTCTTTCTATTCTCAGATGTATTTATCTCCTCTTATCCTCCTCAAAAAACCAGCTTTACCCCCAAACTGTCCTTCTCTAAATTTAGATGAGATTATTTATTTTTCAGTTTCAGAGTATCTTACAATCTGTTCAATGCCTAATGATGTCTGGGGCTATTCTGGTCTAGTGAGTCAAATTCAGTTCTTATTTTTTTATGCTCTGATATCCCCATGAACTTGTGAGTTTACACAGTGATTGTGTTAAACAAGAAGACAAGAACTCACTGAATACTCTCATGCTGCTGAAAGTCATACAGTTGGTGGGATTTCAGGCAGTTTCAAATTGTCCCCCCTGAAACTGTATTTCTGAAAGAAATTAGGGTAGTTCAGCCCGAAATGACAGAAGAGGAAAGAGAATCTCTGTAGCTGTCTAGCTAACTGACTAGCTGAGTTCATTTCGATTTACAGCATGGTTGTTCAGATTTTGTCATTTCTAGTCCTTGGTCACCAAAATGCTTCTTTATGTTTTTAACTGAATATGCAAACTTTGTCAAGAAGTTTGGGTTCTTTGATTGCAATACAGTCTACAAGAGCATGGTGTTTCAAAGTTCTTGGGTGCTCCCCAGCCTGATTGGTTTGTCAGCACTCTCAGTGCTCAGCATGTCCTAAAGTTGGCTCAGAGGGCTAAAATGTTGGGTTTAGATACTTAGTGTGGATCATTTGCTCAAAGAGAATTTGAGTTTTCAATGTAGAAGTGAAAGTGTGAAGCAGCTCAGGGTAACTCACAGTACTGAGGTGGGGTTAAACCAGATCAAAAATAATTTTTCTTCCTTTTGTTCTCCCCAGGACAGAACCATAGGAATGTTATTATGTGGATGGATCATCGTGCAGTGAGTCAAGTCGAGCTCATCAATGCAACACAGCACAGAGTTTTGAACTATGTAGGGGGAGCAATGTCTGTGGAAATGCAACCACCTAAACTGCTGTGGATAAAGGAGGTGAGTACAGTTCACATTGTGGGGCATTTTTACTGGTGATTTATGCCCTTTGTTAATTCCTGAGAATGAGATTTCTAGAAAGTCTTCAGCCTTCGTGTTGAACTCCAAGGTGTACAAAGTAAGGCCAGGCTAAACTTGTTTATTTTCTCTCTCAATTATGTAGAAAGATGTTTGATTTGATTGGAATGGTGTGTTTCCTGAGAGAACATTTCATATGCCTTTCTTCTGTAAGATTAGCTATACATACAAATGTAGGTGCAGGTAATGAAGGAGTCCTGGAAGTATCCCTGGATTTAGTTATGGAGGTGTATTTCCTGTTCCAGCTCTCGTATCTGGGCATGCTTACAGGGCTGTAGGTGCTACTTCTGGGCTGGAGTTCCAGAAGCACTGCATCCAACAGAGAGGAGATGTGATGGCTTTGGCTGCTGGCAGAGGAACTCTTCAGTTAAAGATTCAGTTTAGTTCTGTCCCATCAGTAGCAAATAAACCATCTGCAGAGGGAAGGTGCCCTGTTTGTCATGTGGAGCTCTGCCTCTGTGTCCTGTGTTTACATTCTGTGTGTCACAGATGACGTACGGCTCTTAAGAACAACTGTCAGATTAAAAGGAGAGACACTTGCCACTTGAATTTTTTATAACGTCCTCCAGCCTGGCTTTTACCTCTGCCCTCAGTGATGCTCACTGTCACTGTAACAAAGCCCAAATGTACTTGCTGCCAGTTTCAAGGAGTCAAAGTCTCCTGTCTGTGCAAACATGAGATATCATATCAGAACAAGGTGCAGACTGGGGAGAGTCAAAGGAATTAACTGGTAGAAGCAGGTACTGACAGATTAATGATAACAGAGGGCAGTGAAAGTTGATAATGAAATACCAGTATCCCTCTACTAATTCTTCTCTTCTTGAGCAATGAGTATCATACATCAGTCATTTTATAAATAATAAAATGTAAGCTGTAAAAACCTTAAACAAATCCACTGAGTTGAAAACATTTTTATATTGCAAGGTCTGGGATATCAGTACCTGACTGATCAGGAACCCCAGATTATGGGGTGTCCAGATGTGCCCACCCAGGGCTGTCAGTGTCTGCTGTGTAAGCCCTCTGACATAATTGCTGTGGTTTAAAGGGCTTGTTCCCTCCGTGAGCCAGTGGGTGGGACACAGCACTCACCTGATCCTACGTGCCAGCCAGGAGCAGGCATTGCCTGGCAGAAGGTGTTACCCAACAGGGCTTGTTCATGTGTCCCTTTTCAGCTCCTGACATAACAGATAAGGAGATTATTATCATTAAGAGAGTTTTTTTCTCTCAGTATGTGCTTTGCTGAGCTGCTCACGAGACAGTTCCTGAGTGGGCTGACAATGACTCACCATTAAACTGCTTATGCTTGTCCTGCTTAGCTCAGGCACCTCAACAACATCTACAGCAGCACCTGAGCTGGGGAGAGGAACAGCAGCACTTACCATGGGGTCAGCTGTAATCAGCTGAGATTTGGGCATGGAGTGCTCAACTTTTGAGCTTTGGAGAGGTACAGGATGGAGTGTTCTTACTGCTGCTGTACTCTTTGCAAAGGAGGAGGGTGAAAGGAATTGTCTGAAGAGGAAAGGTTTGTTTTCAGTGCCAGTCACAGTAATGGATCTGTGGATTCCATGGCATCAGGGCTGTCAGCAAAGGGTCATGTTGGCCTCTGGCAGCTCAAATTCAGCCTCACGTAGTGCAAATGTCCTCACTTTTTGCCAAGGGAGAAAAATGTTCAATAATTTTGAATGTCAGGTTCTCCAAATGAGAGCTACAACAGAGTTTACACATAAGTTGTTACTCAGTGCACTGTCTTGAACTGGTCTACAAATATACATTAATGAAGTTTTTTTCAGATTCTTTTTTACCAGTATTTTATAGATAATAAACTGTGGTACAGGTATTAAAAGTATGGTCAGGAAAACTACTTATAAATGGTACTTAATGTGTCCTTCCTGTGTTTTTTGTGCTGTATCTATTTTCTGTATTTAGTGTATTTCCCTCCTGCTAATACTGCACAGTTCCCAGAGACATAGCAGAGTAAAATTTTGCTCCAACTCAGAAATCATAAGGAAAAAATACTCTGTTCTGATCACAGGATTATTTCTTAAGCTGGTGATAATGCACAAACTGGCAAAAAGGAAGTTTAGTTTTCAAATCCCTTGGGAGAGATACCAGATTAGCAGGTAGAAAGAAACATTTTAGTTTTGTTTTATTTTATCTTATCCTGTTCAGTTGAGGATATCTGAGGGCTTTGCAAAGTTGAAACTGGAATTCCCATTATGCTTCTACTTAATTGTGACAACTGGTGTTGAGAACATGACTGCACTGTACCTGCCTTGACCTGGTTTGTTGCCTGGGAAAGTCTTACACAGTGTCTGCCCACACTGTGCTGGGATGTGATCATGGCTTTGGTCTCTCCAGCTTTCCTGACTTCAGAATGTCACCAAACATACTGTCAGCAAGATTTCTTTCAAGTGTTGTGGATCTGAGTAGTTTATTTGTCTTAAATCCTCACCTCTGCTTGTGTTTTCTCTCTCATATGTGAAATAACATTTCCTACCAAGCTATCCTTGCTCCAAGACTGATCACTGCAGTCTTTGGGAGCTGCTTGAAAACAAGAGCCCTCTCAAAGCATCCCAAAGTCTCTTGCTTTGTTGTAAAATGCTCTTCCAGAATTTTCTGCCAACCTGTGCAAATACATACAGGTTCAGAATTTTTCTGCAAACGCTCCCTGCATTTCTGGAACTGTTTCCAGCTGTCTGACTGCAAGGGGTGCTGCTTGCTGCAAGAACTGCTTTGGCTCAGACCAGCAATCTGTTTGACTCATTTTTGGTCTGATGAGTAGTAGGTTTTTTGCTCTATACATTTAGCTAATTTTTCTGAACTCACATGTGCTTTTTACACCAGCTGTGTCCTGTGATGATGAGTCCCACTGTGCTTTGTGTGAACAGGTATCTTCTTTTCTGAAACGAGTTCCTTAAGACTTCCAGTTCTTGCAGAGTATAAGATGGTGAAATGTATCATTCCCCAGACAACACCTCCGTGCCATGGACCATAGGGATGTTTTTTCCCTTTTCTTCCTTACTCCTTTCTTAATGTTTCTCCCTGATGTTGTCATACACCTCACAGTATCCCAGGAAGTTAAGGCAAACAGTGAAGTGGGCACATTCTCCCATGACTGACCCTGATCCAAACTGGCTAAACCAAGGTGTATCCAGGAGCTACTTTGGACCTTTGTGCCTTTGACTGGTGTCACCTTTCTGGAAAGTTTTGGATCAGAGAGCTGGACATGGCTGCAACACGTACAACACATGGATGTTTGTAGAGAAAACAAAGCTGCACAAAACCCACAGCCAGACACTTTGCACAGTCATGCTCCAGGTCAGCAGAAACACCCTAATATATGAAGAGTCACTGTTGACTTTTGCTTTGAATTCCCTAGACCTTATTTTGAACTCCCCAGGAATTTATTGTTTCTGCTATTGAATGTTTTTGTGCTGTTTTCCCTCTATACATCTTTTCCCTGGGATTGGTGCTGTGCACATTCCACAGCTGCTGCGTTGATCTAGGTTTTGCAGAGAGGGTGCAGTGGGGAAAAGAACTGCTTTGAGTCTGAAGTTAAATAATAAAAGTAAAATAACCAGGTACTAGTAATTAAAAACAATTTATAAATCCATTGAAGTAACCAGCAGGGTCAGCTTTGGTGTCATTGGAAAAATGTCTTTGGAAAAATACCTTTCTTTTAATCAAACCTCATGTATTTCTAACAATGAACAGCATCTAATTAGGAGAACCTTAAAATTAGTCCCTGTGAAATACATTCCTTTCAGTGGATCCTCATTTCTCTGGGACTCACAGAATTGTTTTCTCAAGCTTCAAAGTTTATTTAGACTGGCATAAATATAAGTGTTTATTTTTGAGTTTATTGCCTAACCAATTAATATTCAAGATTTCTCTTGACTTTCTATATTCCACAGTTTGTGGATTCAGTCATATAGAGCCTCAGTCCCGCTCGTACACAATAAGTTGCACAAAAGTGGCTGTAAACTAAATTAGTTTGTTAAGAGTCATTTGTGAAACTAATGATTTAGGAGATCAACTAGGTGCACTTTTGGAAGTAAGTTATTTACTGCTAAATGATCCTTTGGACTGTTGCTACGCCAGTAGTTAATTGTGTGTATGTTGTGATCAAAGCCTCCCTCCCCTTTCCATGGTACTAACCTGACTCTGGAAGGCCACACTGAAATCCTGTTGTCCCGTGTTTTCCCCTGGGTTCTCCTTCCTAACTGCAGTATTCAAAAGCCTGACCACTGTGAGGAAGGTTCTGACATGGGTCAATTCAGCAGTGTTGGCAAGTCGTGAGTCATTAGGATGTCTCTCAAAGAAAGGAGTTGGATTTCTATTGCTTGGAGAATTTTCATCCAAGCAATTAAAAGTATTTCTGAAGAATTTGATTTTGAAAATTTACTCTGAATTGGTTGCAGTAATAAAGAGGGAGGAAAGGGGAGAAAGGATTAAGGTGGAGAGGAACTTTTGATAAGGGCATGGAGTGATAGGACAAGGGGAATGGCTTCAAACTGACAGAGGGCAGGGCTGGATTAGAGATTATGAAGAAATCCTTCCCTGGGAGGGCTGTGAGGCCCTGGCACAGAGAGGCTGTGGCTGCCCCATCTCCAAAGTGTCCAAGGCCGGGTTGGATGAGGCTTGGAGCAGCCTGGGCTAGTGGAAGGTGTCCCTGCCCATGGCAGGAGGTGGAATGAGATGAGATTTAAGGTCCCTTCCAACACAAAGCGTTCTGTGATGACCTAATTGTGCTTTTCCATTTCCATCATCCTGTTCCTAGAACTGAAGTCAAGGATGACCTCACTGACTGTGAGGAGTGAGCTGACACCACTGTAGGAGAAGTAGATACTGGTCCTTATCTCTTGTGACTGTTTTGTTATGCTCAACTTGTTTTTATTTGAGGAAGGATTTACTCTCATGTG